CTAAATGCACCAGTTACAAAGCAATGCACCAAGCCACAGTATTTGCATCTGTATCAGACATTGATATCGGAGTCATACATTTTCCCCTATACAATTTTCTCCTCCTTCTTCTTCCCCATAGTTACTTTTGTGTCATACAAAACTCACATATTACAATGTTTTTCTACCATGTTGCACTGCGCTCAGATGTTCAGCTGACTCACTTTAGGGAATCATTTCTATGACAAGCTTCATAAGAATTGGACATTATATCTGTTCTATGACTACTTTTGAACAAATCATGAAAAAAACAAAACAAATGTAAGGTTACAACAATGGAGCACACTGGTCAGATTGTCATACCTGACCAGAATGCAGCGTCCTCTTAATTACAGTCCCCAGGCATCTCCACATTGGTCACATGACACTGGTGTCTTTAAAACATAATTAAGGCCAATGAAGACATCAATAGATGCTCCCTTCAAAGAAACAATGCATATCTATTAGTGGAAGCTTCACTACAAGTAAGCAATGACATAAATGAATAATTACCTGGGGGATTGCAAGAACACCACCAACTGGAAAGCTGCACAATGGCTGAAAGAACTTATTTTTAAATTTAAAAAAACAAAAAATATAAACATTGTCAACAAAATGTGTATCAGTCTTAAAGGAGAACTATGAGGTGAGTGATTTCCACTCACCTCATAGTTCTAGCCGACCTGTGACAATGAAACTGTTACAGGTCGTCTCAGTGGATCGGGAAGTGAGAGAACACATACCGCCGCTCTCTCACTTCTCGATCCTGTCCATGCAGAGAGCCGTGACTGTCACTCACGGCTCCCTGCAGGGATTCCCTCCCCTGTCCGATCCTCCAGCGCTGACTGGCGGAACGGACGGGGGCGGGCAAAGCTGGCTCTGCCTCTAGATAGGCAGAGCCAGATGTCAATCCCGCAGCTGGGTGGATCTCAACAGCTTTGCCGGGATCCGTTCCGGCTGCGGCGTCTCAGTATACCGCGAGCTGTAGCTCGCAATATACTGAGCTTTGGGTCACGGGAGAACGCTAGTTTGTGTCCTCCCGTTACACTAAGGAGAACTATGGGGAAAAGCCCTGACCCCATAGTTCTCCTTGAAGTTCCCCACACACATTGCAATCTTACTGTACAATCTCCCTTAGACCTACCAACAACTATGTAGTCCAAGGACCTGTCTGATCGGATAGATTAGGTAAGTCTTCTTATTACATAGATGCGGTGATTTTAAAAAGGTGATTCTACAAAGAGTGAGCATTCAGATTGTGGTGACCTTATAGATGTCTGAAGACTGCATGCGAACGTATGCTCCCATGTCACAAAACACAGGGTTCAATGGACACCTCTACATAGTCTGTTATTCCTGATGATTGAAGCAAATAGGAGACCAATAACCTGTAAATTGCTATACCTGCAAGTCATTTTGAACCTGTCCACACACGCACTCTAGCGATACTACAACATTCCTCAGTTGTATACAGTAGGCATAGTTAGAAATCTGCATGTGTTATGGATGCAGTGTCTCCCCTGCATGTGACAGCATACGATCTTAGCTGTGCGTATGAGCATGCCATCTGTACATGTATGCTACTTGGTACTTTAATGTGTACAGGCTTGCAGGTGGCTGACTTTTTCACACAGGGAAATAATGCATTATGGGTATAAATTAAATTAGGCTCCATTCACACAAGTGATTTGCACAGAAATGCGCTAAACATAAAAAAAATAAATGCATTCCAATGTGCATTGTTCAGACTATTGCGGCGTCTACGCCTTATACGAAACCATACATCCCACAAAATAGTGCAAGCGCAATTTTAGGGGCGGATTCTGCACGTTTGCGGCTATAGTAGTAACTGCAAACACGGGGAATCTGTGCGTATGGATTTTTGTGCCAAGTGGCAAACGCCATATGTGAATAAAGCCTGATTGTATCATCAAGTACGTTAGATACACAGTGACTTCTCTTGACACATACTGGGGGGAATTTATCAAAACTGGAGCAGACAGATTCTGGAGCAGTTGCCCATGGCAACCAATCAGCATCTCTCTTCAGTTTGCTCAGGTAAGATTTGAAAATGAGACCGAGAAGCTGATTGGTTGACATGCACTGCAGCCAATCAGCGTCTCCGTCTCATTTTCAAATCTTACCTGAGCAAACTGAAGAGAGTTGCTGATTGGTTGCCATGGGAAACTGCTCCAGATTCTGTTTGCTCCAGTTGTGATCAATTCCCCCCAATGTGCCCTGTGCGTGCATGCATTCATGAAAAAGCTTTAGACAAACAGAGGTTCAGAATGTCTTCTGCACAAAAATAAAGTGTCACCGATCTAGACAGAGATGTAGTTCATCCCCTGAACAAAGACAGTGTCACCTGTGCATGCATTTATGAAGGATGTGTGTTACCTGCAGACAGAGGTTCCTTGTTACCTTAGGAGAGTGTCACCAAAGAATAACGTGTATTACCTGACCAAAGATGCAGTGTCACCTCTGCAGACGGGGTGCATTGTGTTACTGTCACCTGTGCATGCGCCTTTGTCACCTGTGGAGATGGAGGATCAGTGTGACACCCTAGCAAGTGTCACCTGGGTATACAGTGATGTCATCTATGCAGACATCTATGATGTCATCTATGCAGGTAAAATAGAGGTGTAGCATCACCCTAACAGAGATGAAGTGTCACCTGGATATACAGGAATGTGTATATATATATATCACCTGAACAAAAACACAATATTGCCTGTGCAAGCATAGGAACATTATGTCATCAATGCACTGACTGTGTCAGCTGGAGGTTCATTGTCACCCTAACAGAGATAAAGTGTCACCTATGTACATCACTGAACAAAAATCCAGTGTCCCCCGTGCAGACTGAGGAACACTATGCCATCCATGCAGACACTGACTGCATCACCTGGTAAGACAGAGGTTCATTGTTACCCTAACAGAGATGAAGTGTCACCTGTGTAGATAGGAATGTAGTGTATCACCTGAACAAAGATTCTGTGCCAATGTGCAGAAAGAGGGACACTATGTCACATGCATGGACTGTCACCAGGTAAGACAGACACATCACTATACATACACTGTCTTACCTGGTGGAAGTTAATGAATCCATTGATTACATCATCAGGGGGGGGAATTTATCAAACTGGTGCAGGAAAAAAATCTGGAGCAGTTGCCCATAACAACCAATCAGCTTCTCTCTTCAGTTTGTTCAGCTAAACTTTGAAAATGAAAAGGAGACGCTGGTTTGTTGCTATGGGCAGCTGCTCCATATTTTGTCAGCTCCAATTTTTATGAATTCCCCCCCACTGAATTTTGCAAAGATGAAGCGTCACCTGTGGAGATGCAGTATCGGTGTGACAACCATCAAAATTAAGTGTCACCTGGATATACCGGGATGTCATATATCACCTGGACAAAAATGCAGTGCCCCTTGTGCAGACAGAGGAACAGTGTGTCATATATGCATGTTCTGATTGTGTCACTTGGTAAAATAGAGGTGTAGTGTCACCCCAACCAAGATGAAGTGTCACCTGGATATACAGGAATGTCATATATCACCTGAACAAAAACACAATGGGGGGAATTTATCAAAACTGGAGCAGACAAAATCAGTAGCAGATTTGCACTGCAGCCAACCAGCTTCTCTTTCTCGTATCTTACCTGAGTAAACGGAAGAGAGATGCTGATTGGTTGCCATGGGAAACTCATCCAGATTCTGTTTGTTCCAGTTCTTGATAAATTCCCCCATTTCATCTATGCAGACACTGACTGTCACCAGGCAAAACAGAGGTTCATTGTCACCCCAACAGAGATGAAGTGTCACCTGGATATACAGGGATGTGACATATGACCTGAACAAAAATTCAGTGCCCCTTGTGCAGACAGAGGAACACTATGTCATCCATGGAGACACTGCGACTGTGTCAGCTGGTAAGACAGAGGTTTAGTATCACCCCAACAGAGGTGAAGTGTCACCTGGATATACCGGAATGTGGTATATCACCTGAACAGAAACACAGTGTGGGGGAATCCATGAAAATGTGGAGCAGATTTGTACTCCAGCCAATCAGATTTTCTCTTTCATTTTCAAATCTTACCTGATCAAACTGAAGAGAGATGCTGATTGGTTGCCATGGGCAACTGGCTCCAGATTCTGTTTGTTCCAGTTTTGATAAATTCCCCCCAGTGTCCCCTGTGCAGACAGAGGAACACTATGTCATCCATGCAGACATTGACTGTCACCAGGCAAAACAGAGGTTCATTGTCACCCCAACAGAGATGAAGTGTCACCTGGATATACAGGGATGTGACATATGACCTGAACAAAAATTCAGTGCCCCTTGTGCAGACAGAGGAACACTATGTCATCCATGCAGACACTGCGACTGTGTCAGCTGGTAAGACAGAGGTATCACCCCAACAGAGGTGAAGTGTCCCCTGGATATACAGGAATGCGATACATCACCCGAACAAAAACATACAGAGGGAAATGTATCAGAATTGGAGCAGACAAAATGTGGAGAAGATTTGCACTCCAGCCTATCAGCTTTTCCCTTTCATTTTCAAATCTTACCTGAGCAAACTAAAGAGAGATGCTGATTGGTTGGCCTGGGCATCTCCTAGGAACACTAGGTCACATGCATGAACTGTCACCAGGTAAGACAGACCTATCCATATATATACACCATCTTACCTAATGACAGTCAGTGTCTGCACAGATGACAGTGTTCCTGTGTGTGAACGGGGAAACTGATGAAGGGTCACCTGCGCAGACTGAGGAAGAGCATGTCACCTCCATAGACAGTAGTCCAGTTTGTGAACTGTGTCCCCTCAATGCACAGAACTTGTGCAGGCAGATCAGTGTCACAGGGCTACCTGTAAACAGTGAGTGATGAGGAATGTGTCCATGACAGGAGTAGGAAGCAGTGTGCTGTCAATGAATGTACACACAGGGATGCAGCCAGACAATCACACACACTGACCTGGGTGAGACATGGTGCTGGTGTCATTGCCGAAGCCCACATTGTAGATGAGCACCGCCGAGGCGTTGTGCAGAGCGGCGTGCCGGATCTTATCCCTACACGTGCAGTTCCCTATGGGGATGAGGGCCACCCAACGGCTGGCATAGGCTGGCACCGGGAACCTGGTGGCCGGGTCGCAGGCCAGCCTGTCGTGCGGGGAGGGCATGACTGCCAAGCCCCAGGCATCCTGCTTGAGGGAGTGCTCGCCGTACCTCCCGCACTCGCTCTTCTCCGTCCTGTTGGTGCCGCTGGCCGGGTCGTGGTGGGTGATGTTGACGAAGGCCGTGTACCACTCCTCCTTCTCGGCTACGGTGAAGTCCATGCACAGCAGATGCACGAAGCAGTAGGAGAGCAGCCAGGTGGACAGAGCCAGGCTGCGGCACGCTTGAATGAGAGACATTGCCATCTTTATTTTCCTAGCCGTGTCTCTCCAGCAACTCTGCCTGCTGCATATGTCACAGCCGGAGACTTGGCGTTCATTGGCTGCGACGGGATTTGTGCTCTCTTCTTCTCTCCCCCGCCGCCGCCGCCTCCTCCTCCCCCCTCTATATACTACTTCTCCGGCAGTCCTAATGCCTAGCCGCTGCTATGATCCTCCGAGGCCGTTATGTCATGGGCTCGGCGGCGGTGGCTGCTTCAGCTTGGCATGCTGCGGGCTGGAGGTCAGGCGGCACTGCAGCTTTTGTTTGGGTTCAGCTGTAGAGTATGCCCTCCTCCTCCTGCACAGCATGGAGATGTGTTCTATAGGAGGAGCCTAGGACATGAGGAGCCTAGGACATGAGGGGGCAGCTCACACTTCACTAGGGGCACACTCACTGGGCTCAGGGTCCGCCCCGCTATATGACTGCTATGTCCTCCCTGTCACCACAACATATACATTATCATTCAAGGGCAAGTCCACTTCCTATTCAAAAAGAATAAATGCTCACACCCTCATAAAAGAAAAAATGGTCATGTATTCTTTTTTTGTTGCTTTGGAGCCAGTAAAGCAGGGGTGGGCAACTCTGGCCCTCCAGCTGTTGTGGAACTACAAGTCCCATGAGGCAGTGCAAGACTGACAGTTACAGGCATGAATTCCAGAGGCATGTTGGGATTTGTAGTTAAAGCATGCATGGTACAGAATTTACTAACATGGACGTGAGGAAGGGTGAATGGACTTTGAGTGCGGTGACTAGGGCTGCAACTAATCGATTATAATCGATAATTACAATCGTTGGCAACGATTCTCATCATTGATTAGTTGCCGCTGCTCTGCTCCTTCTTCCTGGCTGCAGCAGTCTGTGTCCCTGTCAAAGCCCCCTGCTCTCCCCGCCTATATCGGCAGAGGCAGCGTGGACACATCCCCTGCTGTCCTGTTCACTCTCTGCCCCCTGTGCATCCACTTCTGCCCCTTTCCCTCTCGGCCCCCTGTGCCTCCACTTCTGCCCCCTGTGCCTCCGCTGCTGCCCCTTTCCTTCTCTGCCCTCCTGTGCCTCCGCTGCCCGCCCCATTCCACCTCTGCCTGCCCCATTCCTCCTCTGGTGTTTTTGGTAGTGGTGGTTGGATGGGTTGAGGCTGTAGAGGCCACAGAGTTATTGCAGAAGTGGCTACAGGTGGGCAAAGGGGATGGGCTTGTGGGCATAGGGGGGTCAGGTAGCAGTGGTGTTGTGAATAGGGGTGTCAACAGAGCCATATCAGATGGGAATGGTGTTATAAGTAGGGCTGGTAATGTTCAACGGACTCCTCCCCCCTTCGTTAGCCGACAGCCACTTGGGGAAGGGGGGAGGAGTCCGGAGACGTCGATGTCCGTGACGTCACCGGATCTCCGACGGAAGACCCGGAAGCCGGCAGAGAGGTGAGTACAGATCAAAAGAACTTTGATCGATCAAAATAATTTTGATCGATCAAAAAAATGAACGATTAATCGAGGGATTAATCGTTAATTTCCGCAGCCCTAGTTATAAGCAAGGGGTGCTGTGAGTAAAGGTGACCATATAGACCCAGGGCAGATCAAGTGGTGCCGTAGGTAAGGGTGGCCAGCTGGGGGTAGTGCTGTGGATAAGAATGGCCACAGAGCCATTGTAAAAGAGGGTAGATAAGTGTGTCCAAAAGTGGGTTGTCCTGTAGGTGAAGGGGGTCACGTAAGAGTAATGGATGGCCACAGAGCCATGGCAGATTGGGTAAAGATGGCTAGCTAGAGGTGATGCTGTAGTTAGGAGTGATCACAGAGCCATGGCAGACAAGGTGCTGTTGTGGGTATGGGAGGAATGCTTGAGATGGTGTTATAGGTAAGGGTAGCCAGATGGGGGTGAGTGGCGGTCATGTGTTTGGGGTAAGGATGACCACAGAGCCATGGCAGAAGAAGGTAGTCCCGTGGGTACAGGTGTCTAAAGGAGGATCAGGTACAAGTGGTGTTATAGTTAAGGGTGGCCAGCTAGAGGTGGTGCTGTGGGTAAGGTAAACCAGCTTTATCTTTAACAAAATTGAAACTGTACCCACTTATGTCATAATTTAAGTTATTGCCATTAGCGCCTCTTTTCCCTTGACCTGGTAACAACACATGTACATTTTGCATATAAACACAAAACAAACAGTATGCTTTCCCAGATCATTTCTCCTGTGTTTTAATAAAACACACACAGCAGGCCAATGTGAATGGCTGCAAGCATCTTCTATGTACACATTTAGACTCTCTTTTTTATATGAAATAATGACATTGGTACATACCAGTCTGATGGTTTTACCATAGGTCTACTTTGTTAGTTATCTCCTGTTCCCTGGTTTGTGATCAGTCAACCGTGAAGTGTCAGCAGTAAGTTAATAAACTTATCACACTTCCCTCCCAACCGTAAGTTTGCTGGGTTAGGTTGAAAAACACTGTATTAAGAAGCAGAGTTCTGCCTGGTTGCAAGTTTAGCTTAGTAAAAAACAATTTTTTTTATTTGAGTGCCCTAATTTTAAACTCACCATCTTTGACTTTTGGTTCGATACTTGGCAGCTGCTCAATATCTCTCTAAAACTATCAAGTGGAGACATTGAAACTACTGAATCATTTCAAGGAAAAGCACAAACAAAATGGGTATTAGATAGTGGAAATCTCTCATTGGACCAAACATCCCTGGTCCATGGTTTCTCAGTATTCTGGGTTTTGATTGGAGCACAGCATCCATGAGCTAAGCTATAGTTAAAAAATAGTACAGAACTGGTGGGACTGTTATCGCATTCGTGTAATGCATTTCTATGAGTGAATGCACACCTAGGCATTCAGCAGCGTCTAGGTGCCTTCAGTCTAGGTCAGTTTACACAAAATAGAAATGTTTGCGTTCCAGGTCTGACTAGCCCAATTGTATGCGGCTAAACGCGTATAAACGCGACTGAGCCCGGCATAGAAAAGTGATCTGGGAAGCATAAAGTTGTTTATACTTAGCAAATAACTTCTGTTGGGCTTAAACACAGCCTGCTAGTGTGCGTGAGGCACAGAAAACAATGACTAGAAAACAATTGTCAGCTTCAGTTGCTCCTCATGTTATCCAGTGCAGATGCTTATGACCTTGGCACACATTGGCAACACTTTCTAGCTGCATAGACAAGTATTGTGGCCAGCTATAGCAGCAACTGTAGCTGGCTACAAATTATCAGCATAAATAAGCCTTGAAGCGGCTACACATCCCTGCTACAACGTTTCTAGTGTGTCCACTGCATACATATCCCACTCCTTTTTGTCTCTGCCTTTTAGCAGCCCACAATCAACCAAAATACAGCACCCAGGCTGTACTTCAAAACCCTCTGTGCGTTAAAGGAAGGAGTCATAAACTGACTGCACACTCATAGATGTAATTAGCTTACCGTTGAACTTTCCAACGTGTTTGATATGTGCATCAAAACGCCTCATCCACGTCTGTAAAAAAAAAAAGCAGAGTTTTTATCAGAATTGATCTGAATGCAGGTTTATGTTTTTCCGAGAGATTGTAAAGATCAGTAAGCTTGTGCTGTGTTGAGATCGGTAAAATCAAAATAGAAAAATCTGCATCTGAGGTTCTGCACTGGGACCGTATTTTACACTGTAGGCATGTAAACGTTTGTGCTATTGTTTACATGTGTATAGCGCAAATGCACTCTATTTGAGGCACCTAAGCCCTAACAACACAGGAGCCGCCTAGTGTCCTCTGTTGCTAGGATGCAGGCAGCTTGTTGCCGCCTGGTGTCTTCCATTGCTAGGATGCAGACGGCTTAAGTGTAAGGGCCGTACACCCCCGCCCAGCTCTTAGCAACCTGGGATGCCCTGGCCAGCATCCCGCCCAGCTCCTGGCAACCAGGACGGGATGCCAGCCAGAGAAACCCAGGTTGTAGGAGTCTGCAGCGGGCGGTGTCACCAGCACCACTCTGCACGACTCACTGTGTATACCACCCGCAACCTCTCCCCTAGTGGCAATAAGGCGAGGGACACCCCTGTTTGCCATATTTTCAAACAGCCATAAGTCATGAGCCAGAAAGATACATTTTTGACCCACACATATACTGTAGGTAGTATGGGTCCTGCATGTCAGGCCTTGGTACTGCTGAACAGGGACTCATTGCTGAAATATTCCAGATGTCAGATCTGCAAGTAAAGTTTCCACACAGGGATATGTTACAATAACATGAATGGTGTACTACAATCTATTTAATTACCTTTCTTTTGTAACATACATCATTTTTTAGTTTGAAGCAGGTGTATGTTAACCCAACTTAGGGCCCATTCACAGTCTTGTTCCTTCCCACACCAAAACTAAAAGAAAATGTTTTAGTTTAAGGTACCACTTCCTAGAGATGCACCAACATATTTCGACCAAAAATAATACTATGGCCAAAATGCCTATAGTACCATAACAGTCAAAAATGCAGCCACAAATTCAGTGCATCCCTAGCTTCTCTCTTTCCCGCTGGGCACCAGTCTGTGTCCCCCCCGATGCCCTGTGTTGGCAGAGGCATCGGGGATCTGAGGAGACACAGAAGATCCAGCTGCTGCCGCCAGCGGGAAGGAGGGAAGCTTTCAGGAGGCCGAGCCGGGCAGTGTGGGGATGAGACAGCTTTCAGGATGCTGAGCTGGGTGGAGAGAGCTGTCAGCTGACCAAAAGAGGCCAGGATCTCCTCCCGCACTGCCCTGCTTGGCATCCTGTGACAGGTGAGTCAAGATGGAGAGCGGGTTAAAAGCACTCAGCAATTAGGACTGATTGCTGATTACTGAGGACATAGTATGCTTACTGTGTCCCCAGTTATTAATGAACAGGAAGTGCTTTACATCACTTCCTGTTCATTCATAATTGTGGACAGGAGCACTTAGTATAGAGGCTTCCTGTTCGTTCATAACAGGGGGTGCAAAAAAATTAATTTTCGGCCTGACAAATTTTTTATTTTTGGCTTCGGTCTAAAAATGTCATTTCGGTGCATCCCTACCATTTACAATTGTGAATGGGCACACATGAGTCTCACAAATTCCCTCATGAGACTCATGAGATCTGGTGCAGATGGAAGGCGCTGAACAATACAAGGACGCTTTACATTACAATGACAGGTGTGGTCGTC